CGCGCGCGCGCGAGGCGGCGGCGCGCGGCCCCCCGGCGCGCGCAGCGCGGCCCCGAGCGCCGCCTGGAACGCGAGGCCGTCGACGAGCGGCCGGGGCGGCGCCTTGGGGAACCGGCGCCACGCGTGGCCGAGCGCCGGCGGCGCGCGCGGCCGCCCGTCGCCCCCGCGCGGCGCGGCGGCGGCGTCGCCGCCGGCGCGGCCGTGGCGGAAGCGGAGCGCCTCGGCGAAGGCCTCCTCGGCCTCGCGGAGCGCGCCGAGGCACGCGAGCGCCCGGCCCGCGTCGGACCACGCGTCCGCGCGCGCGCCGTCGTCGGCGGCGGCGCCGACGGCCCGCCCCGCGGCGTCGAGCGCCGCGAGCGCCGCGCCGCGGCCGAGGAGCGCGTCGGCCGCGGCGGCGGCGCCCGCGGGCGCGGCGCGCGGCCGCGGGGCCGCGGCGCGCGGCCGCGGCGTCGCGAAGGGCCAGAACCCGCGGTGCGCCCGCCCCGCGCCGCGCGACGCCGCGGCGCGGATCCGCGCCGCGAGCGCGACGTAGGGCGCGGCGGCGCGCCGCCGCCCGTGCCAGCCGCGGACCGCGGCGCACTCGGCGACGAGCGCGCCGACGAGCGCGTCGCCGCGGCCGAGGGCCGCCGTGAGCGTCGGCAGCGCGTGCTGGAGCGCGGCGCAGGCGAGGTCCGGCTCCCCGCGGCGGAGCCGCGCGGACGCGAGCCACGCGGCGCCGAGCGCGGCCGCGACGGCGGCGCCGCCCGGCGGGACCGCCGCGCCGCGCGCGCGGCAGGCCTCGGCGTGGGCGACGGCGTCGTCGTCGCGGCCGCAGCCCGCGAGCGCCGCCGGGTACTCGGGCCCGCACGCGCGGCCGACGAGCGCCGCGGCGCCGCGCGCGGCCGCGGCGCCGCGGTCCGGCCCGAGGCACCGCGCGACGAGCGCGTACGTGTCCGCGACGACGAAGGGCGACGGGGCGCCGCGGCGCCGGGCCAGGGCCGCCACCTCGAGGGCGAGGCCGCAGCGCGCGACGTCGGCCGCCGCGCGCGCGGCGCCGCGCGCGAGCAGCGCGCGGCAGAGCGCGGCGCGGCTCCGCGACGCGAGCGCGCTCGCCGGCCCCGCTGCGCGCGCGCAGGCCGCCGCGTGCCGCTCGAGCGCGCCGAGGTCCGCCGCCGCCCCGGCCGCGAAGACGTCGCCCGCGGCGCGCAGCAGCGCGAGGCTCTCGGGCCCGGCGAGCGCCGCGCCGGCGCAGGCCTCGACGGCGGCGAGCGCGGCGACGGCCCAGGCGACGCCGCGGTCCCGTCGCGCGAGGAGCGCCGCCGGCGCATCGCAGCCCGGGAGGAACCAACGCATCGGCTCTTCGGCCGTCGGCCAGAGGCGATCGCAGCCCGCCATGATGATGGATCAGCTTGAAGAGGTTCAAGATGTACTTCAGAGAACTTCGTGATATAATGGCCCGCTGCCCTGCTGCAGCGTCGCTGGCGCCACACTGTGTCTGAGCAGCTTCAAACTGCCAATTCTACATCGCACATAACAATATGCGCCGCGCGAGTAGCATGCTCGGCCGTTTCGCCGTCGCGCGTCCAGGCCAGAATAGCCACGCGTGCGTCGTCCTGGACGCTGAGGGCGACACGGCGTCGCGGCGCGAGAGCGTCGCGCGGCTCCGCGCGCGCACGGGCGCGCCGCTGCGCGACCTGCTGCACCTCGGCCTCGACGGCGGCGCGGACCTCGAGCACGCGTGCGTGCTGCCGCGCGACCGCGCGACGCTCGTGCAGCTCGGGGGCGTCCGCGCGGTCCTCGGCGAGCGCGAGGCGCTCTTCTTCGGCGCCGACGGCCGGCCCGCGGTCGCCGCGGCCGTGGGCCGGATCGCCGGCGCGGTCCGCGGCGCGCGCGCGGGCGCCGCGCCGGGCGAGGAGCGCCTCCCCTTCGAGCTCGTCGTCCTCGAGGGCATCCTCGGCGAGGTCGCGGCGGCCTACGGGCGCCGCGCGGACCTCTACGCGCGGACGGTCGAGCGCGAGATCTCGCGGAGCTGCGGCGGCGGCGCGGCGGACGCGCACGGCACCGTCGAGGGCCTGCACCGCCTGGGCGCGTTCGACGGCGCGCTGCGCGGGTTCGAGGGCGAGGCCGGCGACGCGCTCCGCGTCCTCGAGGACCTGCTCGCGTCGGACGAGGACATGGTCGGGCTCCTCGTCGGCGAGCGGCGCGCGGCCGGCGGCGCGCCGCCGGACCCCGAGCGGCACGCGGTCGTCGAATTGCTCCTCGAGTCGTACCACCGGCGCCTGCGGCGCGTCGCGCGGACGCTCCGGGAGCTCAGGGCGGAGGTCGCGCGCGCTCGCGACGTCGCGCGCGTGACCGTCGACCTGCGGCGGAACCACATCATCGAGTTCAACCTGCACCTGAGCATGGCGGCTGTTGGCCTGGCGGCGACG